CAGGCATATCCAATACATCCGAAGGGTGCACATTTCCAAAGGTGCCAATACATCCGAAGGGTGGACATTTCCAAAGGTGACTGAAGGCATTCCATACTCTGTGCTACTGCAGGACAGGAACAAAGCAGGTCAGCAAAATAACCGGCTTCAAGTCCCTTCGCGTCTCCCAAGACAATGCCCTTGTTTGCCAGAGAAGTGACATCGCCACTGAAGTGACCTGCCTTCCCCTGCCACGCTCCACTGAAAGAATTAAAGACTCTCCTTCCTCTTGCTTCCCAAGAAGCGACAAGGGACACACCATCTGGTCTGTGTGGGGGTCAGATCCTTTGCAGGGAAGTTTGGCTAGGCCTCCCTTGGTCTGATTTTCAGTGATGCTCCTCATTTCCGCAAACCTCTTAAAACACTTACGTGCGGACAAGTTTCAATTTCTTTTGGGCCGTTTTTGGTGCCTCCTCATCAGAGTTCTTCCCTTTAGAGCGAGCACGGGCAGCTTTCTTCTCTTTTTGGGCTCGGCCCTCTGGTAAGAAGAGAAAAAAGGTGTTGCATCTGCCACCCCATCAGAACAGACACCTGACAGTAACAACCTCTCTAGCACAACAATACTTTGGAGTGTATATTGGCTTTGGGCCATGCACCCCATCTTAATTTTATCTAGCAGCCTTGAATATGCTCACACAAGAAGAGCCCAGGTCACCATCTTTTTACCTGTCCTTCAGATTCCAGCGTAACAGTCTTTGATCTGTACCACTCCAGTGCCTGCCTTCATCCCCACCACTTCCATAGTCACTTGGCTGCCTCCTGTATCAATCTGCAGCCCAGTGGTGGTAGTCACTCTTCATGCCCTTGCTGGAAAAAAAACAAGGTTCGCTCGACACTTAAAACACTTACGTGCGGACAAGTTTCAATTTCTTTTGGGCCGTTTTTGGTGCCTCCTCATCAGAGTTCTTCCCTTTAGAGCGAGCACGGGCAGCTTTCTTCTCTTTTTGGGCTCGGCCCTCTGGTAAGAAGAGAAAAAAGGTGTTGCATCTGCCACCCCATCAGAACAGACACCTGACAGTAACAACCTCTCCAGCACTACAATACTTTGGAGTGTATATTGGCTTTGGGCCATGCACCCCATCTTAATTTTATCTAGCAGCCTTGAATATGCTCACACAAGAAGAGCCCAGGTCACCATCTTTTTACCTGTCCTTCAGATTCCAGCGTAACAGTCTTTGATCTGTACCACTCCAGTGCCTGCCTTCATCCCCACCACTTCCATAGTCACTTGGCTGCCTCCTGTATCAATCTGCAGCCCAGTGGTGGTACTCACTCTTCTTGCCCTTGCTGGAAGAACTGTCATAGTCACTCGACTCTATCTGCTTCTCCTTCAGGTCTGCTTCAAAGCGAGCGAGATCTGTGTCCAGCCGCCGGATGTGCTTATCAACCTGCAAAGACGACAGTGATCAGGAGTTACCACAGAACAGAGCCCAAGAGGGCAAAGAGGAGAGGGCACGGGGTTTGCACGAAGAGCTGAGAAGCAAGAGTGGGTAGGGCCTAAAAAGAGAGCTCAGGGCCTTCCAGGATTCAGGGCTTTACTACAGCTTTTCATATGATAAGCACTAGACACTTCCCTTCATACCATCTCGTAGGTCTGCATAGCCAGCTGAACCTTGTCGTCCCCAAACTCCTTGCATTTCCCATAAGCCTCCTGGATTTGCTTGAGAAGCCCCAGTTTTTCCTCCGAAGACAAAGTCCGTGCATTGCTGATATACTCCGTGGCCAACTTATCGATCTCCAACTTGAGGTCTGAAACAAGTTTACCATTAAATACAGAAATATGCACACACACACACACTACAGTGCCCTCCCTTAAGAGAGACTGAAGGATCAGAGCAGCTGTCGGCTTCCTCCCCTGCCCCGAGATCCCCGTGATAAAGGCAGAGGAAAGAAAAGCTGGTCAAGCTGCTTACTTGCTGCCTCGTCAACAAAACCATCTCTAACCCTCACCTTCCGTCCTCTGATCCAGATCTCGCATGAGCTGGAAGTTTCTCTGCAACTCAAAGGGCAGGTTCTCAATACCTGTGGGGAAAGGAGGACACACGGAGAAGTCAGGTTCCTGTCCACAGTGCCAAGGCAGGGACAAAGCTAACTGATCACAGCACACACACCACCCCAGTGATTCCCAGCGCCCTGTCCTGCGGCACATTAGCGTGCTTCCATTTCTTATCAACTCCAAAGGAGACAGATTCTAAAACTGTGATAGATTTAATCCAGAAGCACAGTTCTATAATACTTCTTAGTCAACAGAAACCTGCTGCCATGCAGAAAGGCCTACATTAAGAAACCAGAAAACCAAAACTTGGAATGAAGTCAGTCATTATAATACAACATTTCCATCCAAGAACTCCATTCAGTAATGAAAAAAAAATAGTACAACAGCTGGTAAATAATGCCATTCAGCTACTTCTACACAAGGATGTCAAAACTGAAGTCGATCAAATGATGATTCACTGAAAAGTGAGTCCATTTTAGTGCATCCATTTTACATATATGGGACAGGAGACACTGTGCAGAGCCAAAAAGCAAATCTGACAGTGGCTGGTGAGCAGTGAACAGCAGTCTTAGCCCCCTGTCACGTGTTCCTTGTTCTGCTTCTGCACCATCATCTCAGAGTGGTCTGTCCAACACCTGGAAGGATGGTATACACTGTGAATAACAAATGTTTGCAGGGCTCTGATGAGCAATGTGAAGCTGATAGTCAATTAATTTTCAATGTGCTATCCTACTCACCCCCTAGGCATCACCAGATGCTCAACTGACAAAGCTGATAAAAACATTTCTCATTTTTCCATGCATTTCTAATCAAACTGAGATCTAGTGTCACTCCATTAACCTGAAGTCCAAGCTTGATTGTTGTGCCTTTTATACCTAATGAAAAAAAAAAATAATTAAAAAAATACCTCTTGTGGGTTTAAAAAAAACAAGGTGGGGGGAAAAGCTCTTCAGAAACACCACATAAGCACGTCTGCTTCCTGAACCCACTCTCCAACATGTTGAGAGTGTAAATGAAGGTGTGTCTACCCATCATCAAAACTGTCTAATACACCAGTCCCGGCGGCTGTCTCTGTTTTCACTGCCACAAGTTTCTACAGCAGAGACACTTCCCTGAAAAGCAATCAGCCAGCAGGGAAGGTCCGTATGCAAGAGGCAGGTATTAACAAGTACTACACAAGGACCATGAAATTAAGTGCTCTAAGAGGTGAAAATGACTGTGGGCCTCCCTGTGCTCAGATACTGTTCCTTTAACTTATTTTTTTGCACAAACAGCACACAGTTACATACAGAACCCGTACGAGTTAGCAAGCTATTGCTTCAATAGATTTCTGTTGTCATTTCTAATTTAAATACCCAGAAATGCTCAGATGGTAGGTGTCCTTAAGTACCAGACACATAAATACACAGCACCCACACACCGCCCCCCTGCATTCAAGGACAGCTACCAGTGCAAAATCAAATTCCCCCAAAATTCGTAAGCAGCAAAACTAAGGCTGTCCGCACATTCCTAAATCTGACACTTCCACACTTGTCCAGCACGACAGACTTCACACCAGGCTCAAGCAGCCGACTACCAGACTACATCCCTATGGCTCAGAAAAGCATCTCGGAAGACAACGGGGATACAATGCTGAAAATTATCATTTCTCACAGAGGGAACTTCTGGCAGGGATGAAATCCAGCTCGGGAATATCAAGACCATGCCTTTTTCCTTCCTGCAATCCCCATCCTCGCCAACTCCAAACCTTTCAATTTGTACAGCAAATGAAACACGGGTCACGCTGCAGCACGCCGCTTTTCACTCCCCTCCAAAGCATCCCCTGCAGAAGACAAGGCAGGTGTCCTCTAGAGGAAAACAGTAGCTGTTCTTGCACTGCATGCAATATCTCAAATTCACACTGAGTTTATTAATCCTGGAAGATCACGACTTCTCAATTCTTGACTTTGCAGTTTTAAAAAAAGATTAATGTCATTTCTTTTTCTCGTCTAAAAATGAAAGCAAATAAAAGCACAAATTCCACTAGGTACAGTCAGTATCCCCTCAGCAGGGCTAGAGACCTTCTCTTAGACAGAGCGAGCACCTGAGCTAAGCACAAAACCCAGCAGGACGCTGTTATCCGGGCAGCACAACCCCACCCCAGGTCACGGCCACGTTTCGCAGCGATGCTCCAGCAGCAGGAGCAGCTCGGGCAGGAGTCTGCTTCTGCTACACAACCTCAAAGGGACCATGCTCCAGTTTTTACACCCATTACCGTAAAAATCTGCCACCAGCCGCCAGTGACGCCAGGACATGCCCTGGTCTGGAAAGTCGTCATCCTCCCTTGGCCTCTACGCACCCCATCTTGCTTCTCCAGAGCCCCTCTCTGCCCGGCCCCCCCCTCAGCCCCAGGCCAGGGGCTCCCCCGCCTCGTCGCTGGCCCCCGGGTGTGCAGAGGGCCCTGCTCCCACGGATGGAGGCCTTCTCTGGCTCCAGCGCTGGCCCCGCACACGCTCGGCACTGGCACGGCCTGCAGATCCTTTACCAGTCGAGCATGTACAAGCAGTGATGTTCCAGAGGCTCCTTAGCCAGGCAGGTTTTCACGGGGACTCACGAGACAAACCCCTGGCATTTGAATTCCTTCCCTGCTAAAACCGGCAAAATAATTTCCTAAAACCCCCAGCAAGATCTTTCACTTGGCAGATCTATTATTGGAACAGCGTTCTGCGATTGCTGCGTCAATAAATGGGGAGAAAATGAAACAACTGACCGTACAGCGACTTTATAATCAGAACCGTTATAACGATGCTTTATCTAGCCAACTGCAAGTGGAAAGAAGCCGAGTACACCACTAGAAATTACCACCCAGAGACAGTCTGGCAAGAACAAAAAGTGTAACAAGATAAAGCTGCAGCTAAGTAAGTTTTAACTGAGCTACAAGCTATTTGTATGGTATATAGTTTAACTACGGGGAAGTTTTCTACTATCTGCAGTTTAACTCAAAAGCTCTTGTCTACCTTTTTTTTTAAAAAAAGGATGCTCTGCATCACAGAATTTATCACAGTGATCAGAACACTTGCTGAAATTGCTTGGCCTGTGCTGGCTATCAGACATCACCTCCCTAGCAGCCCCATTAAAATAAAAAGAAATAAAAAAGCCCCTAAGATTTGTTTTTGTTTCCTCATTCCTACTAACACAACACACTTTCCCTCAGACTTTCTAAAGATTCATGTTATTTGTGTAATCTCATTTCCCCCTGAATTTCTCCATTTTCCTTTACAATTCATTTGCTCTTTCTTCTTATTGTAAGATGCACCAAAATTTTTCATGAGGAAATACTACATATTGTAAAATACCCAAATAATTCTCAGATTCTGAAATGGATCGTAGTAAAGAAAAAAACCATCCTACAGGCACCCTTGATCACTAGAGAAGACAGTGAAGGGCAGTCAATCTATCAGGGTGGTGAAGATGTACAGCGAAGAAAGCGCGAGCCAGGCCAGCAGCTTGGCCCAAAGCATGGGCTGGCGTTAATGCAGCTGTGTCCATGGGCACAGAGCCACGCGCAGCCCCACTGTGCCCCACTCCTGTCGCAGTGCGATTACCCTGTACAGCATCGGCACACGTCTCAGGGTGTTTTTCCCACTCCTTCCTTTCCTTACCTTGTTTTCATTTCTTACCACAAGGCTCTCTACCTGCCTTCGTCTTTCCTCAATTCTTTTCCCTTCACTACCCCCATTCTTCTTTCACCTCTTTTATTCTCCTCTTTCCTTGTCATTTCTTCCCCCACTCATTCTTTTGCAGACATCCATAACCATGCTGCCTTGTCCCTTAAGAATCATGCCCTCTCTCTCAAAAAGTCAGAATCTACCACCACCCTCCTTCCCCTCCAGTTTTTCTTTTTAGAAACCTGTGGGGTGCCAAGTGTAGGCAACTGATATTTAAACTCCAGCTACTTAACTCTGATATTAACTCTGACATACACACACAGAGCAAGCCTACACAACCTGGTAGCTTTCACCACAGTCCATTCTCCCGTATCGTGTCTTCTAACTGTGCCAGACAATGGGTTCGTATCGTGACAATGTCCAAATTCCTAAAAAGAAATCCATTGCACCAAGCACTGAACAAACACATGGTGCCTTTCTCGAGACATCTGTCCACCTACCATGTCCAGATACACGCTTAAATTTATTAAAAAATGTGAAAATACATTTTGAAACATAACCACGGTTGCTTTATTGAACAGTACAGATTTCAGCAAACACTTCAAACACCACACTGCTGAAGGTAATTAAAGTCCTGCTTGCGCCAGGGATTGCCACAATGAGAGGGTAAGTTCTTTGCCCCCTGATGAAGGAAAGTGGCTGGGATCTTGCGGGGGAAGCACATGGGATTTTTTGGTACTCCGTGATTCTCATAATTTTGTAGCATTTGAAGGACACTGCAGGACAACTGGCTTACAGAAATCTTCAGGAGCTTCCTTGCTTCCTCATTAGGGGGAGGGATGTATTGTATATCCCTCCATCCCACCTTTGAGAGGACATAACCCTTTTAAAGCACTGCTTCTACTCTGTCCTGTGTTCTAAGTGAATTGTTTATCTTCCTACATAAATTATTGAAATTGGAGCATGAGCATAATACATACCTTTCTCTCTACTCATACATGGCTCGACCCTATTGCAATATACACAGCCTAAACTGTAACTTTATCCTCACAATACCTCTGTGAGGGATAGTACTACCCACATTTTTACAAATGAGGTACTCGGGTGCACAGTAGACTGACTTGCCCAGGAGCACCCAGGAATTCTGGGCCCATGTCACATATCTGGAGCTCTGGGCCCGTGCATGGCACACTGGTCCACGCAGGCGCATGTACTCCAGGCACTGTCCAAAGAAACAGGTATCAGTCAGCGACGACAGCCAACGTAACAGCCACAGAAACCTAGCACTCCCCCAAAGAGGGGACCCTTTCCTTGGGGAGGGAGGGCTCTTTCTGTCTTTTTCTTATTCCATTAGTTCACTACTGCAGCATCCACAGCCAAGATAGCAGGCAATGGTGTTAAGTCTCAGAATAGGGATCTTTATTGCTGTGTTAAAAATCAACCTTGATTTCAGAAGCTTGGAGGACTCAGAAGACTGACATGTCAAATGAGACTTCAACCACTCCAGGCATTTCCAGCCTGTCACAGATCTCCACAGGCAGGAACCACCACCAAAGAGATCACAGGGCTGTTTGCCAAAATGGTCACATCAGATTTGCAGTTGGTCAAGTGAAGAAATGCAGAGAAAATGCAGTATGCTTTGTTTTATAAAGCCATCTTGCATCAGCTCTGATAAAAATAGCAGTCAACAATAAAATCAATTCTAAATAAACTGGTCATTAACAATAATAAATGTATTAGCTTAGTGTGGGCTGCGCCAGTAGCTTTCACACAGAAACAAACGATGCCTATGAATCACCAAATCCTCTCCCCTGCATGAGATCTTTTGTAATTTTCCACAGATCATGCGTGCTGCTTCACAGATGCAACTAATCCAACGTCTCAGTAAAGTGAAAAGCATTTTTCACGACACTAAAACGGTGTCGAATACAGAAACAATTTATTAAGAGATTCACATATCTGAAGTATGAGGTGAGAAACTTTAGAGGTAAGAACAGGAAGGTATGGCTACATGCTACACTGGGGAGGGGATAAGAGTGACGACAGTAGGTAAAGTGAGAGATAACTGCTGGGGAATCTGGAATGCAGCCAGGTAGTACCAGGACCGGGAAGGAATCAAGGGCTAGCCTACAGCAAGTTCTGACATCACACCCATGCCCTCTAAGAGTATTAAGATAACAATACACATCATATCCTCATTCGATGAAGCTATACAGAGAAAAATCCAGAAAAATGTAGCTATTTTCAAAGATAACTGGGTCAGCTAACGTTATCAAGGAATGAAAGGATGCTCCAGTGTCAGTTGTAGGAGAAAGACGATGACCTTCAACAGGGTGTATACTACTCCTGTTGCCTTGTGCTTATGCTGGCATAGGTTTTCTAGTATTGACAAGCCCTATAGTGGTGCAACTCTATGTACCTACTGACACATGTAAATAGAAGGAGCAAAGGAAAGTTGATGCCTGCCTAATCAGTATAAGAAAGGGGAAAAACC